AGCACATGGATCCCCGTGCTCCAACCCCTTTCCCCCAGTGGGAGTACCTGGCCCCCGCTGGTGGGGCCCTTACCTGAATTTCCACTCTCACAAGCAGGCAGGGAGGGCTGGGAACAGCCACAGGGTGACCAGGTAAAAGCCTGTGCCAGGAAGAGGGTACTCATCTCTAGCACCCCCTGGCTTGGGACCAGCGGCGGGTCAGGCTGGGATGGGGGGTGGTTACTTAGCAACCAGAATCACACCTCCTGCAGGGACTCACCAGCTTGCAGACGGGCAGCGAGGGCCAGGGCTTAAAGAGGAGTCCCACAGGCCAGATGGAATTGCCCAGTGGACTGGATCTGGGCCATGGGCCATATTTTACCCACCCCTGATCTAGGTGCCTCAGTTGATTAAAAGATGACTGAGCTGTCAGTATGATGCATTTTCCTTTTTCACAGCTGCATCAAGAAAAATATTTCAAAGTAGAGCTATGAAAATATTAATGCCATTGTACAAGCACTGGTAATCCCCTCATCTGGAATGCTGTGTAGAGTTCTGATCACTGTTCGTGAATGGTGAATTTCAAATGGGAACACAGCTGCGTAGGAGGGCTACTAAAATAATCTGGGGAACGAAGAATCCATATTACAAGAGACAAATAAAAGAGCTTGGTTTATTTAGTTTAGTGAAGTGAAGGCTGATATAAATGCTGGTTTTATCTAGATGTGCCCCTACGACGCCATTCTTACTGTGCCATCATTTAGTACTTCCTTTAGAAGTCTGTTACTGCATTGTGCCAGTAGCCCACAGTTATTTTTATCCACTGTGTCACTGTAGCAACGTGCTATAGCAAGGCAGCGCGTTGCTATGGCGACATAGATGCGGTGTCACGGTTTTTGCCTGCTGATGCTATGTCGCCATAGCCCGTTACTATGACGATGTAGCATCTCATGTAGAAATGTTAGGGAGAGTAAGCACCAGGGAGGAGAAGAGCTATTTAAGCTGAAGAACAATTTCAGCACAAAAACATATGTATAAGAAACTTGTCTGCCTATAACCTCACCATGAATACATTTAAGCTGGAAAAATCAGAAGAAAGTTTCTAGCCAGAGGAGGGAGGCTTCCTCCAACAGCAGTAGCGGGGACCAGAAACTTAACTGATTTTAAGTTGTAGTTTGATAAGTTCATGAAAGGGCTTATATATAGGGACTACTGTAATAATTTAGGCTTCAGGGGATTTCAGGGGAAAGCTCAAAATCTAGCATTTACCCTGGAGCTCTGGAAAACTGTGATTAGAGTGGAAATGGCCTGAAGCTGTGACAGACAGGGAGGGCAAAAGAAAAAAGTTAAAAACAAACAAACAAAAAATCTTATCTGAAGTGCAGAGAAGAAAGATAAGAGAGTCCTGGAAACACTGTGGAAGCCCCATGTGTTCCTACGGGCAGCCAAGTACAGACTGAGCCCCTGACAGGGCTTAGCCAATCAGGCTGTTCAATTCCCCACTTTGGCAGGGAGTTTAAAAGCCCTGCACAGAGTGGGGCAGGTAAGTACCCCCTGCCCTAAGGGCTGCAGGCATAGGCATGCCAAGTGTCTGTCCCCACAGCTGGGTGTGGGATGTAGGGTGCCCCCACCACAGGAGCTTTCCCCCACCTGGTACGGGTCTCCCAAGCCCCACATTGTTTTGAAGCTGCACAGGAGCAGAGGGGAATTTCCCTCTCCCCTTCTCTCCATGGCAGGGCAGAGTGGGGCTTGGGAAACCTATGCTGGGCATGGGGGAAGCCCCTGTGGTGGGGGCCAGTGACTGTCTGTGGGGGCAGGCACCTGGCACAGGTCTCCGGAGCCCCACTTTGCTCCCTACA